AACATTATCTTTGTTTGATGTTAAAAAATTGCTCATTAAACCTGGTTCTTTCATCAAAGGAAAAGAGTTTGCAGACTAAGAAACATCTTAATTACATTTATCATCAACCATGATAGCATAATAAAACATTAAGCTCGTTTTCGGAGACATTGCATCTGAATATCTTGTCTGGAAACAGGACTCATGCATGTCTTTTATCTTTAATATATGTATTTTTAAATTTTCCTGACCCCCTCCCCGTTCATTTTTCCAAAATCATTAATGTGATTAGCAACGACGTTCTTTGACATTCAAGGATTAATAATATGTATGAACAGCATACTACTGAATGTCTCGTCATTTTAGACCTCTGAAATTTCCTTTGTTCGGCCATTTTTATACTTAAGTGCCACCAGTAACGAAATACTTATTTTGATAATATTCTTATTAAATTCTACAGATTTTGCCGTCTGGGACATTTTTCATTATTGAAATGGCCATATATAGACCACGTGAGCTCGACCTATAATAGTATAACCTTAAGAATAAAATAGGCCATGGTATACATTTTCACCATCAAATAAATTAACTCAAGTTTACATCTTTTCAATCAACGACTCTTACCGGTAAATATTTTCACCTTTTGAAAAACGGCCACTACACGTTCTCATGACAGATTGACAACAAAAGAAAACCCTTTCAAAACCAATGTCTCTTACTTTTGTGGAATATTACGTATTAATTTCTGTATCATGCAATGTTTTAGTTACAAGCTGAAGTAAAAGTCATCCAAGAGGCGACTGGAACACCATGGCCCGTGTCCCTCATATTTTAGTTGAGGACGAAGACTTACTAACTCCAAGGGAACAACAAGAGGAACAAAAATGGAGCGACTTCTTCCAAAAAAAGAAAGCAGAAATACAAAGGAGAGATTTATCATCCAGAGAGCGGAGGTAAATTAACATCTCAAAATTTGTAAGCGAAACAAGGTATACGTTATTTTAAAACAAACACAAAACAAGGTATGTTATTGACAAACGTGTCAATGAAACAAGAACATCAACAGTGTCGTTTATGGTAATCATTTCGCAAGTTCTAAGGTCTATACAATGCCCTTGTCAGCAAATACAATCTATCATTAAATAAAATGTTGAATGAAGTTTTTGCATAGTTATTGTTAGGCCAATACATACACAAAGAGTTATTAACAGATTTTTCCGCTATTATCCAATCAAAGCAAGAAGCACACGACAGGTGAGACGGGTCGAGAAGAGGATACTGCTCCTAACCCTGATGTATAAGAGGCCCATGTTTGATTTGCTTCAAAATTTGTATTGCTTAATGAACCTTTAGCTTATATTTCACCCTTCAGATAATTTATTGGTCTTCAGTTTTGATTTTTTCACTTCACAGTGTGTTATTTGTAAAATCCATGTAAGAGTATGGCTGTATTGACATGTTGTGCAATACGTATAAAGATAAAATAGAAAGCCTCTTCTCTTCCCTGGTTCTCTAACAACAAAGCTTTATGATTAACGTGATGACGTTTCATTTGTTAACTTCCCTTACTTATGCAGCAATAAAGTAATAACCTTTGTCACCTGCATACAGTCTTATATCTCTAAGTTGAAAACAGTTCGAAACAAAAGAGAATGCTCTACGTACTGACGATTTTAAAAACGAGATAAGACAATGACAAATTAATGAAACAAGGATATCAGCAGTCTCATTTAAAGTCATCATTCGGTAAGTTCTATGGTCTATACAATGACCTTGTCAGCAAATTTATACAATTTATCATTGAGTCAAATGTTTACTGACTTTCTTCATACCGATAGTTAGGCCATTATTTACATACTGAGTTGATAATGCATTTTGCCTTTTCCCGATCATGACAAGGAGCACAAGGAGGATGTGACCGGTCGACAGGGGATATAGTCTCCTCCATGGCACCTGATTCCTCCTCTGATGTTTTGGATGTTCGTGTTTGCTCTTTTATTTTTTTGTTATGTTTAATGGACTTTAGATCTTGAATTCTATTTGTTATCTCTACATTTTTCATTGAGCAGACAAACTGTTATGCATGTGTACTATGACCAATGTCGCTTCATTCAAATTAGTGAAATTATTGACCTAGGATCAAGTTATCTAAATTCAAGGCTGGTCTAAATTGCTAATATAGCAAAAAAGTTTTATTTCTTTTCTTCTCCTGGATATTCAGCAAATAAACCAGTTTCAAGATGAGTAGAAATGTAGATTGAAAAGCTAGAGTTAGATCGCGTTTGACATTTAATTTACATCTTTGCCATTATTTTCTAAACTTCGATTATAAAAACAGATATGATTGTATATTAATCGAATTCGCACTTCTACTCATATGGCAGTTTTTAAAAGCAAATTCTGCTTGATGTGCATATTATATACCTCTATCAATACATTATAAGGTCCACGGCGGGTATAATCGGTCACCAAGGGATATTCACTTCTCCCAGGTACCTGATTTCATCTCTAGAAACAGGGGCCTCGTGTTTATGCTCTGTTCACAAATTAGTATTGTTCGTAGAATTTTTTTTTCAATCGATGAATATTTGTTATCGTCATCTTCAGCATTTACTACTGATACAATTTCTTTAACATTCGCCACTGAAAAAAGCAAGTTTTAAAAAGGCATTGTCCAGAGAATATACCACTGAAATTCATTTCGTAGAACTTAATGTCTCTGTGACTTTGTCAATTTCTGTGAAGGTTTTTGCAAGGAATACATAATAACATTTAGATCCTTTAATTAAAATCCAATTTCAAATACTTCAGATCAAAGTCAGCCAGAAAAATGAAGGAACTTAACCAAAGATGGCGGAATCTGGAGTCAAGAAGAATTGAGAGATCGAACACAGAACTAGAGCGACTTAGATCTACCTTATCTGCAGCTCAGCTGTCTAATGGCGGACAATCAACGGACGATAACTCTTAGCACTGTTATCAGAGATCTATTGTTATGTTCCACAACGAGACCAAAAACTGAGATTTCAATATAAACTTTACTGGATCTCTTCAATGTGAATATTGTATTATTAATTTTCACAGACTGCAATATTTTGACTTTCATCCTATCATTTGATTAACAGCTACTCATCTTTTACATTTCTGTGCTTCCAAATAAACATTACATTATTGAGTTTTTTTTGGATTAATTCAAGTCTAAAATTTAATTTGTTTTTAATTTAATGCTTAATTATAAAAGCTAAATTGTTGCTTGAACAATTAATTATCTTGTCAATTATCGTCTATCTTCTTCTTTGAATTATTCGATTTGTTAAATGGATTCACTGCCAGACAATACTTTTTAGCTCACCTGAGCCGAAGGCTCAAGTAAGCTTTTCTGATCAAAATTTGTCCGTTGTCTGTAGTCGTTGTTGTCGTTGCTGTCGTTGTCGTCGTCGTTGTTGTTGTTGTTGTAAACTTTTCACATTTTCATCTTCTTCTCAAGAACTGCTGGGCCAATTTCAACCAAACTTGCTACAAAGCATCTTATGCTAAAAAGGATTCAAGTTTGTTCAAATAAAGGGCCATGCCCTTTTCCAAGGTGAGATAGTAATGAATTACAGAAAAATTAAAAAATCCTCTTCTCACGATCCATAGGAACAGGAAAGATGAAACTCATGTGGAATCATACTCATGTAGTGTAGATTCAAGTTTGTTTAAATCATGACCTCCGGGGGTAGGGAGGGGCCAAAATGGCCGATCAAAGTTTTACATAGGAATATATAGGAAAAATCTTTAAAAATCTTCTTCTCAAAAACCACTGGGCCAGGAAAGATGAAACCCATGTGGAATCATCCTCAAGTAGTGTAGATTCAAATTTATACAAAACATGACGCCTGGGGCTAGGATGTGGCCATAATGGCCGTTAAAATTTTACATAGGAATATATAGGAAAATTCTTTAAAAATCTTCTTCTCACGATCCATAGGAACAGAAAAGATGAAACTTATGTGGAATCATCCTCAGGCAGTGTACCTTCAAGTTTGTTGTAGGTTGGGGCCAGTATGGCCGATCAAAGTTTTACATGGGAATAAATAGGAAAAATATTTAAAAATCTTCTTCTCAAGAACCATTAAGACAGGTAAAATGAAACTCATGTGAAATTATTCTCAGGTAGTGTAGATTCAAGTTTGTTCAAATCATGACCTCTGGGTCTAGGGTGGGGCCATAAAATGGCCGTGAAAAGTTTTACATAGGAATATATAGGAAAAATCTTTAAAAATCTTCTCAAGACCACTAGACCAGGAAAGATGAAACTCACGTGGAATCATCCTCAGGTAGTGTAGATTCAAGTTTGTTCTAATCATGACCCCTTGGTGTAGGTTGGGGACAATAATGCCGATCAAAGTTTTACAAAGGAATATATAGGAAAAATCTTTTAAAATCTTCTTCTCAAGAACCATTAAGACAGGAAAGATGAAACTCACGTGAAATTATCCTCAGGTAGTGTAGATTCAAGTTTGTTCAAATCATGACCCCCGGGGCTAGGGTGGGGCCAAAATGGCCGACCAAAGTTTACATAGGAATCTAAGGGAAATCTTTTAAAATCTTTTTTCCAAGTACTTCAAAGCCATGATTAGTAATATTTATATGGAATCATCCTCAGGTAGTGTAGATTCTAGTTCGTTCAAATCATGATCCCCTGGGGGGTTAAAATTCAACCCCCACCCCACACACACCTCAGTAAACTTTCAATTCTGATCTGATATGTGCTTTTTCCTAGCCGATGTGCTCAGGTGAGCGCTGTGGCCCTTGCGCCTCTTGTTTATGTGTATGTTGGTTTGATTATCTATATAAACACACAAACACACACTCTCTCTCTCTCTCTCTCTCTCTCTCTCTCTCGATCTCCTCAACACACATTTAATGAAAACATTTCTATCCAAAATTTCAGATAAACAAGATCTTGAGGCATAGCTTAAGATATTCTTTGCCTACAGTTACCAACCACAATTTTAAGATGGGGTATTTATCTTAAGTTAAGTTAGTTTCTCTTTTATCAGGTACAGAACATAGATTGTTGAAACCTTCTACACGGTTATCTCAGTTAACGTGTATAATTGCCAGAGACATAATTAAAAAGCATCACTTTTAATTTAAGGTAGTCCGATCCTCAGGTTTATGAAATTAGCAGTTAAGTAATCAAAAATACTCGTAAAAGTATGACTGAATCCACAAAGTTATGTAAATTTATCCACAATATTTATTTAAAGTTATAGATTAAAGTTAATCATATTATATAGTGAAAATTGTCAAATCTCCAATATTTTTGCAGAAAAAGCGAATTGAAATATCAGCAATACATTTTCTATTTGCAAATTGATCAGCAAATATATTTCAGGTTGAAAAACGATAGGTATCCAGGCATTCAGAGAAATTGTCATGATTTTCATACTTATTTGGTATTTTTTGTCTTCTATTTCCGTCATGTATTCTATAATACATAGTGTAAAAGGCTTTCGCTATCATTGCAAGACACCGCAAATCACTTCTCATGTCATATCATGCTAAGAATCATTGGTATCTAATACTGGATTTAAGAAAATCTTATTTCTCTAAAATTGTATTAATATTCTCTCCTTTTATAGGGTAAAAATGTCAACTTTTACAGAACCTTTTCTAAGACTTCAAAAGACCTTGAATCTTATAAAGATGAATAAAATAAAAATTGTTGCACGAAAAAAATTCATTTTCAAGCTTCATTTTGATGCAGTTCAAATTTAATATTGATTTTTTTAGTTATCCTTCCTGGCTGAGGATCGGATATCCTCAAACAATATTTTATATTATGAATAAACATAAAAGGATCGGACAGCAGGCACTGCCTATATAAGTCCTCTCTATCACTTTTAATTAGAGAACTTTCAGAAATATTATTAGAAAACTTATTTAAACATTAAAAATCAACTGGATGAATACAACTTCAGTTGAAATATATTGGATGATGCATTTTAAGTGGATTTATAGCCAACTCCCCCCCCCACCCCCACCCCCCCCCCCCCCCCCCCCCCCAAAAAAAAAAAAACCACTTACTCCTCTTTTATCATGTTCTCCGACTGCACTTATTTTTGATTTAAGCAATAGCTTTTTTTACAACCTATAAAATATCTCTTGAAGAAGTTGAAACTACTAGTCAATTTTTACAACAAATATCACAGTATGACTTACCTTGCATAGAAGAATTTGTAAATCATCATAGTTTTAACGTGAATTTACTTTGTCTGTTTCAGACATTAACTCAACTGCTTTTACTCTGAAACCCCATTATTTATGAGGGACCAATGTTCTTGTATTTTTGGATCAATAATATTCACAAAATATATTCCGTAACACAATTTTTTTTCAACCTGTTAATTCATTGAATCTTTAACTTAATGTAGATACAAGTCAATCGATTAATAATGTATGCCCCCACAAATCAGTAAAGTTAAATGCCTGCCTCTTGGTGTCCCAGAAATAAAAAATCTTTGCAAGTTTCCAATGTTCAAATTATAAAATGTTGTATACAGGTACGAGGGGTGATCAAAAACTTCGCGAACAAAATTGAATAACTTCTATAAAAGAAATAAAATTAGGTTTCAGTGTTCATAATTTTTTTAAATAGCCCTCTCCAATTTTAATACACATCTGCCATCTTTCTGCCCATGCGTGAATCACGTGATCCAGGCGGTTCCGTGACATGCTCTGAAGCATTCCGTCCATGGAGATGCTTAGCAGCTAAACAATTTTTCCGAGTCTTCTTGTTCTTTCCATGCAAGTTGATTCTTATAACAAGAAAGTCCATTTGTCAGAAATGACCAAATTTCAAGTATAGGATGGTTGGATAAGAATATTCTTTTCCAGAAAGAACATGGTGATCATTTCAACCCGAGATCTCTGTCTTAGGAACGTCGTTTATCCAATGCGGATATAATTGCACGGGCCTTTCTTTTTATCATATATAATATGTAAAAAAGTTTAAATTGAACGATATGTTAGGGATTTAATAATAATATTATTGTTAAGATATTCAACCATTTTTCTAGCTGAAACTTCGCAATCTTTCATAACAAATTGCCTTACAAAGGACACATCTTTTCCTCGGCTTGCATTCTCTGGGCTACGAAGCAAACGTCATTTTTAACAATCCACCTCCCTTCACTAAAACAATCAATTCAGTTAATGATTAAACGTTTGGAAAGTCTATTGTCTTCATAAGCCTTGTACGAATTATTATAAGATGCTTCAAAGGAACTTCCAAGTTATACGTTAAACTTTACAACCGTTCGTTGCTCGAGTAAGACTGTGACAACCATTTTTCATCACGTACATATTGTCGTATTTTCCACAATGTGACGCCACAATGATGGAGAAAATCATTTCTTTTCATATGTTGTTCATAGAACATGTGCACGACTATGGGTGTGTCAAATGTCATTCTGATCTGAATCGTGGTTTTGTAAATAAAGAGATAGTTCGCGAACATTTTGATCACCTCTCGTATCTGTAAGTTTCTTTGATCTGTAAGAACTTTAATTATCTTTGCATAGCTTCCCCTGTCTGATCTCTTCATCACCAAGCTTCTTTCTATTCTATAATTAAATTCTTGTTTCAAATAAAATGCTCGACTTCTATTTGTAGATTTTTTTACTGTCCTCCGCTTTCGCAAAAGCGAGGGGAAATTAAATCTCATTCGTCTGTCCTTCTGTCCGTCAGTCTTCTAGTCTGTCCGTCCGTCACAAAAACGTTAACCTTGCCCATAACTTTTGATTTAGTGGAGCTATGACTTTCATATTTCACTTGTGTATTTCCGGTAATAAGACTTTTCTTTGTGTACCACCAAATCTGACTTTTTTTACCTTGACCTTGTAGTTTGACCCACTTTAACACAATTTTTTTTCACTTTTACTGTGGCCATAACTTTTGAACGATTAATACAAAAACTTTCAGATTTCACATATAAATTTTTTGTGGTAGGACCTTTCATTAGATACCAACAACTTTGACCT